ACACACACACACACACACACGCACACACACACACACACACACACACACACACACATACCACACACAACACACACACACACAACAATACACAACACACACATACACACACACACACACACCATACACACACACATACACACACACACACACACACATACATACACACCACACACACACCACCCACACACCACACACACACACACACACACACACCACACACACCACACACACACACACACACCACACACACACCACCACACACACACACAACCACCACCCCACACAACACACGCCACAACGCACACGCACGCACACACAACACACACACACACAACACGCACATACACACACACACACACACACCACACACACACACACACACACACACACACACACACACCCTCCCCACTTGACACAAACACTAGACACAAACACGTACCCCCCCTTTCCCCTAACCACCTCACCTTAGCCACCTACCCCTCCCCCCCAAACCACCTAACCCCTCCCCAAACCGTCTAACCCCCGCCCAACAACCTCCCTCACCCCAATAACCATCCCCCCCCTCCCCATAACCATCCATCCCCTCTCTCCCCCAAACCATCTAACTCCCTCCCCCAACTATCTCTACCCCTCCAATAACCATCCTCCCCCTCCCCCACAACCATCTATCCCCTCCCAAAAAAATCTATTCCCCTCCCCTAACCGGGATGAGGACAAGGGTTTTCCAAGGACGAATCTGGGAGGGAGGAATGGGAGGCAGAGCTCAAAAAAAGGGAGGAAGAGTGGGGAAGGAGACTAGATGAGCTGGAAAGGAAGATGAAAGAGAGGTTAGCAGAAGAATGCAGAAGGTGGAAGAAACAGGCCACAGCAGCAGAAATCAAGATAGAGAGATTAGAAGAGGAGCTGAGACATCTGAAACAGCACAGAGACAAAGATATTACAGAAGTAGCATCGGCAATGGCTACATCAGACACAGACAACAGGTCTGAAGGAAGCATGGAAACTAAACTGTATGCAGAGGTAGTGTCAAACCCACATGGGGCCAAAACAAAGACAGGGAGCACACTAGGACAGAATGAGAGGTTGGAAGACATTGAAGGAACTAGGACATGTGCAGGGACCATACCAGATACCTGTGGGGGCCAGGGACAGGTGAGCAGGAAGGATAAACCAAGAAGCATAGGGGCCACAACGAGGGAAGGGACTGAAGGAAGGAACACTCCACGGGAAAGAACTAAAACACATCAGAGGATGCAATGGGAGTCACAGTGGGAGGTGGAAAGGGAAAGATCCGTGTTTGTCTATGGGCTAGACGAAGCTAAAGGGAAAACTTATGATGAAAGAAAGCAGGAGGAGAAAAAAGCGATTGAAGATATCATGAAGGTGATAGGCGAGGGGGACATGACCCAGGTGGCAAATTTTCGGAGAATTGGGTGGTTCACAAAGAAAAGGAATCGGCCTCTCAAAGTAATTTTCAAGGCAGAATCAACCCGAACCATGATCCTACAGGAGAAAGCACGGCTGAGAGGCAAGCAAGAGTTCCGGAGTGTGTACCTCGATCGAGACAGAACACAGGACGAAAGGAAGACGATGAAAGAGAGAGCTCAAAAACGAAAGGAGAAATGGGAGGAAATGAAAAAGGAGAGCAGAATAACCCAGGATCAAATGGAAGGACAAGCACACCCCCCAGAAACACCTGCAGAAGGACTCCAGCCACGACACCCCAAGGCAACTGAACAATCCAAACAACCATCACACACCGATCCCTCTGTTCCCACCCCCCGCACCACAGTTACAGTATTAGAACAGAAGTTGAAGGTTTGGTACACAAATGCAGATGGATTAACTAATGAACATGAGGAATGGCAAGAAAGAATCAATGAGAAGTCCCCAGACATCATAGCAGTTACAGAAACAAAACTCACGGAGACAATAACAGATGCAATCTTCCCACCAGGATACCAGATCATGAGGAAAGATAGAAGGGGCAAGGGGGGAGGTGGGGTTGCTCTGCTCGTAAAAAACAGATGGAAATTCGAGAAAATGGAAGGCATAGATGAGACGGGAGAGAAAGAGACTACATAGTAGGTACACTTCAGTCTGGGGAACACAAAGTGGTCATTGCAGTGATGTATAATCCACCACAGAACTGCAGGAGGCCAAGAGAGGAATATGAAGAGAGCAACAGAGCAATGGTGGACACACTTGCTGAGGTGGCAAGAAGAGCTCACTCCAGCAGAGCAAAGTTGCTGGTTATGGGGGATTTCAACCACAGGGAGATTGACTGGGAAAACCTGGAGCCACATGGGGGTCCCAAAACATGGAGAGCCAAGATGTTGGACGTGGTGCTGGAAAACCTCATGCACCAACATGTTAAGGACACTACCAGAGTGAGAGGGGAGGATGAACCAGCAAGATTGGACCTTGTGTTCACCCTGGGCAGCTCAGACATTGAGGACATCAAGTATGAAAGTCCCCTAGGAGCTAGCGACCACGTGGTTCTGTGCTTTGAATACATAGTAGAGCTGCAAGTGGAGAGAATAACAGGAGTTGAATGGGAAAAGCCTGACTATAAAAGAGGGGACTACATAGGGTTGAAGAACTTCTTGCGGGAGGTCCAGTGGGACAGAGAACTGGCAGGAAAGCCAGTAAATGAAATGATGGAATATGTAACATCAAAATGCAAGGAGGCAGTGGAAAGGTTTATTCCCAAGGGCAACAGTAACAACGGGAAGACCAGAACGAGCCCCTGGTTTACCCGACGGTGTAAGAGGCAAAAACAAAGTGCAATAGAGAATGGAAAAAGTACAGAAGGCAGAGAACACACGAAAATAGGGAGATCAGTCGCAGAGCCAGGAATGAGTATGCACAGGTAAGGAGGGAGGCCCAGCGACAGTATGAAAATGACATAGCATCGAGAATCAAGACTGACCCGAAACTGTTGTATAGCCACATCAGGAGGAAGACAACAGTCAAAGACCAGGTAATCAGATTAAGGACAGAAGGTGGAGAACTCACAAGAAATGATCAGGAGGAATGTGAGGAGCTGAACAGGAGATTTAAGGAAGTTTTCACAGTAGAGGCAGGAAAGGCTGTGGGAAGACAGCACAGAAGGGAACATCAAGAGGGAATATACCAACAAGTGTTGGATGACATACGAACAACTGAGGAGGAGGCGAAGAAGCTCCTAAGTGACCTTGACACCTCAAAGGCGATGGGACCGGACAACATCTCCCCATGGGTCCTTAGAGAAGGAGCAGAGATGCTGTGCGTGCCTCTAACCACAATCTTCAACACATCCCTTGAAACTGGGCAACTACCTGAGAAATGGAAGACAGCTAATGTAGTCCCCATATTTAAGAAAGGAAACAGAAACGAGGCGCTAAACTACAGACCTGTGTCTCTGACATGTATTGTGTGCAAAGTCATGGAGAAGATTATCAGGAGGAGAGTGGTCGAACACCTGGAAAGGAACAAGATTATAAATGAAAACCAGCATGGGTTCATGGAAGGCAAATCTTGTATCACAAACCTCCTGGAGTTTTATGGCAAGGTAACAGAAGTAAGACACGAGAGAGAGGGGTGGGTAGATTGCGTTTTCCTAGACTGCAGGAAGGCCTTTGACACAGTTCCCCACAAGAGATTAGTGCAGAAGCTGGAGGATCAGGCGCATGTAACAGGGAGGGCACTGCAATGGATCAAGGAATACCTGACAGGGAGGCAGCAACGAGTCATGGTACGTGAAGAGGTATCACAGTGGGCGCCTGTGACGAGCGGGGTCCCACAGGGGTCAGTTCTAGGACCTGTGCTATTTTTGATATATGTGAACGACATGATGGAAGGAATAGACTCTGAAGTGTCCCTATTTGCAGATGATGTGAAGTTGATGAGAAGAATTAAATCGGATGAGGATGAGGCAGGACTGCAAAGAGACCTGGACAGGCTGGACATGTGGTCCAGTAACTGGCTTCTCGAATTCAATCCAGCCAAATGCAAAGTCATGAAGATTGCGGAGGGGCAAAGAAGACCGCAGACAGAGTATAGGCTAGGTGGACAAAGACTACAGACCTCACTCAGGGAGAAAGACCTTGGGGTGACCATAACACCGAGCACATCACCGGAAGCACACATCAACCAAATAACTGCTGCAGCATACGGGCGCCTGGCAAACCTGAGAATAGCGTTCCGATACCTTAATAAGGAATCGTTCAAGACACTGTACACTGTGTATGTTAGGCCCATACTGGAGTATCCCAGCACCAGTCTGGAACCCACACCTGGTCAAGCACGTCAAGAAGTTAGAGAAAGTACAAAGGTTTGCAACAAGGCTAGTCCCAGAGCTCAGGGGAATGTCGTACGAGGAAAGGTTGAGGGAGATCGGACTGACGACACTGGAGGACAGAAGGGTCAGGGGAGACATGATAACGACATACCAAGATACTGCGGGGAATAGACAAGGTGGACAGAGATAGGATGTTCCAGAGAGGGGACACAGGGACAAGGGGTCACAACTGGAAGCTGAAGACTCAGACGAGTCACAGGGACGTTAGGAAGTATTTCTTCAATCATAGAGTTGTCAGGAAGTGGAATAGCCTAGCAAGCGAAGTAGTGGAGGCAGGAACCATACATAGTTTTAAGAAGAGGTATGATACAGCTCAGGAAGCAGAGAGAGAGAGGACCTAGTAGCGATCAGTGAAGAGGCGGGGCCAGGAGCTGAGTCTCGACCCCTGCAACCACAATTAGGTGAGTACACACACACACACACACACACACACACACACACACGCAATAGAGGGAAAACACTACCCTTTTATAAGTCAGAATTCTGTAATCAGGGCACATACGTACGTGCTAGCCAAGTACTGTACGTGGCATTCTTGGAAAAGGAAATATATTGTAATCTATCTTACAGAAGACCAATCTTAGAACTCAAGATAACAGCTCGTATCCTCCACCGTAAAAAAAAAAAAATATACAAAAATTCCAAAGAGAAGTCTGACCGTGGGGACGAGTGTGATGGTAGGAGGTGTAGCTCCTGGTAGGTGAGGCAGAGTTCCTTGATCCGTCATGATACGCGTCGACTTAATCAGGTTAGGGATGAGGTGGTTCCACAGAGCCAGCGGATGTGAGCGATAGTGGTTCTTTGTCACCACCTGCATGTCTGTCACAGAAATGGATTTCATTAATAAATATATATATGTATATGTATGAATCTGTCTCTCTTCCTCTCTTCCATATTTGTGCATTATCTATCTGTCTCTATTTATCTATAGTGTAAAAACAAAAGATAATGAAAAACAAAAGATCAACAGAAAGGCATGTAAGGATGAGATTACACCATGCTGTCAGCTTAAAATATCTGACCTTTTTATGGTAACGTTGGTTTGTAGCCAAGGAGCTGTCAAACACAGCTTATATTCTACCCAAGCTTTAAAATTTTAAATTGTCTAATGTATCTTAAATTTTTTCCCAAATGTTTTTAAATATAAATAAATCAAATCTGTATAATTCTAAAGCAATATTCATATTAATTTCAAAACTTTTTTTATGAAACTTGATTCTGTTATATTTCGACCATAGGCCTCCTTGATATAATTTTCTCGGCATTTGAAAATCAATTGGATGGTTAAAATCTCTCGCATGAATAAACAGAGCATTAGAATCTTGTCCACTTTTAATGCTAAATATATGTTGTTGTAATCTTAGTTCGAGACTTTTCCCAGTATGACCGTAATAAACTTCATCAACTGGAATCTTGTAGACACACCCAGCAGCATTTTAAAGGGAATTTTTTATCAAAAGTTTTTTTACTGTATCAAGATTTTGACATTAGAATTCTTAAGCAGAAACGGTATATCAAGAAAGTTTTCATGGTAAGGGAGAGCCAACATATTTTTACTTAAATAGGGTTGGTTGCCCTTTTTTGAATTACAAAAAAGTATTTTTAGCATTTTTAAAGGATTTATCATTATCAATTAAGTGTTTCGGGTATTTTAGATCATAAGCTATTTCATTAATCTTCAAGATTTCTTCATCAATGAACTCTTGGCTGCAAATAAGCATGAAATTTCACTATTTTTTTCACAGTGGTTGTTCTGCATATTGTGATATGACCTGTTTACTGTGACCTTACTGCATACACACACACACACACACAGTAGCGGCCAGTGAAGAGGCAGGGCCAGGAGCTATGCTCAACCCCTGAAACCACAACTAGGCGAGTACAACTAGGTGAGTACACACACATACAACATACACAGGAGCTAGGACTCGACCCCTGCAACCTCAACTAGGTAAGTACACACACACACATACACACACACATACACACACACACACACACACACATATATATACATATATATATATATATTTTATAATATATATATTATATATATATATATATATATATATATATATATATATATATATTATATATATTTTATATATTATATATATATGTATATATGTATATATATGTTATATATATATATATATATATTATATATATATTATATATATATATATGTATATATATGTATATATGTATATATATTTGTAGAGAAAATTTTCTCCAGGACGGGGGTATCAGCCCCCTTCAGCCCCTTTCAGCCCTTTTCAGGACTGAGGGGCCCAGCCCTCTCAGAAGGGGCAAGCATCTTGTTAATTGCTATATCAAGTAATTACCAGCAGATATTTAACCAGTGTGTACCAGTTACATCGTCATGCGGCTCTTTGCAAGAGACCACTGCTGCAAGTGTGCGGTTTAAATAAGATACATTCAATCTCTTACCTTAACAGGACACTTAAGGAAAATCCTGTACCCACTTTATTACCATGTAAAGATAGTGTACATTGTTGTCTAGGCTTACACAGCAAGAATCAAGCATTCTGCTTTGCTTCCTGGTAGATGTTTGGCATGGAGGGGAAATGTGCTAGGTCAACTTTTCCTTTATGTGCTAGGGGCATTGCGGCAGCGTAGGGGGTTTTTGGGGTTGTTTGTTTTGCCCTGCGGGGGGTACATTGATGCCGGGTAACCAAAACGAAGAACACGATCCACGGTTTTTGTGAAAAAAAAAAAAAGTCTAAAAAAAACATGTAAACATTTACAGAGAATTTTATCAGCTTATTTAATATAAAATTTTGTAAATAAACAAACGATGTTGCGACCCAACAAATTTTTAGTGCGACTTTCTTCAAAAACACTTTCTTCAATGAAGCCTGAATTTTGGAGAAAGGGCTGATACATACACCCAGGAAAGTAAACAGAAGATTGAAGTTCCATTGACTGTGCAGTTCAAAACCAAAGTTTGATCTAGCAACTTCCCAAAACCCGGGGGGTCAGACTTTTTGAGTTCACACAAGGAGTATTTAAGTCAGCAGTCAGTTTCTGGATAGGGTGACATAACCCCCCCTGGGGGTAATTCTACTCACCCATTTTTAATACCAGCCCTTGAGGGGTGCAAATGGCAGCTTTTCAAGACATCGCCTGCAGGGATGGCTGTGTAGGCGGAAAACGTCTATCAAGCTAAGTTTCCCTACAGTTACTACTTAAACTTTAACTTTGCTTGTAGGTTACCTCAATATATATATAAATATATATAATATATATATATATATATTATTATTTTTTTTTTATTTCACACTGGCCCATCCCCCAAGGCAGGGTGGGCCCCCCAAAAAAAAAAAACTTTTTTACCCTCTTCACTCCCTCACTGTCTTGCCAAGGGTGCTTTACACTACAGTTTTTAACTGCAACATTAACACCCCTCCTTCAGAGTGAGGGACTGTACTTCCCCCTCTCCAGGGTCATGTCCGGCCTGCCGGTTTCCCCCCGAACCCCTTCAAAATGTTACTTTGCTCACACTCCAAAGCACGTCAAGTATTAAAAAAAAAAATTTGTCTCCATTCACTCCTATCAAACACGCTCACGCACGCCTGCTGGAAGTCCAAACCCCTCCCACACAAAACCCCTTTTCCCCCTCCCTCCAACCCTTTCCTGGCCGACCCTACCCCCCCTTCCTTCCACACAGACTGTAACTCTTTAAGTCATTCTGTTTCGCTATTCCTTTTTACAGTTGAACCCCCCTCAAAATTAAAAAATTTTTATATATATATTATATATTAAAAATATATATATAATAATTAAATTATATAATTTATTATGTTGTGTATCTTTGTGTAATCAACTTATTTGTGGTTTTGGGGTTTTAATCGCAGCTCCCCTCCCTCCTTTTAGCTGATACTACTATGTCCACTCTCTGCCCGCTCCAAGAGGAAAACGTACCTCTTCTTAAAGTTATTTATGGATCCTTCCCCCCACTGCATCACTCTCCATATTGTTTTCCCCTTCCTAAACTCTTGACTGAAAAAATATTTTTTAACATCCTGTGATTCATCTGAGTTTTCAACTTAAGTTGGCCCGTTGTTCCTGTGCCCCTCTCTGAAACATTTGTCCCTATTCCCCTTGTCAACTGCTCTCAATTTTTTATATGTCGTTATATGTCCTCCCTATCCCTCCGTGCTCCAAAATCGTCACGTTGATTTCACTTAACTGTGCTGATTGCTCTGGGCCCCTTACACTTTCTTGAGGGTTTTTGGTGAACCCCCACCCCGGGTTTGGGGGTTTTCAAGATGGAAATAATTAGGGAGTCTTTTTTTTTTATTCCCCGGGTATTCTCCCCGGCCCCGTCTTTTTTAAAAAGTGGTGGCCGGCCTTGGCCCCCCTTTGGGGAGTGTCTCGAGCGAAGTTCCCCGGGAGGAGGTACAAGAACCCCTCATCTTTGGGCCCAAGTCTGTGGAGAAAAATTTTTTCCGGAGGGGGGTTCAGCCCCTTCAGCCCCCCTTTTAGCCCTTTTAGCCTTTAGGGGCCCAGCCCCCCAGAAGGGGCAAGCGTCTTGTTTACTGCTGCGTGAGTAATTGATCACAGAGCCGTCGAGTATGCGATGGTCAAGGGGACCATTGCTCCTTTCAGTCCAGTGTTGAGAGTGTATTTTAAAAAGAGACAGACATCTTTACTTTGCGGCAATTAAGGGAAAAACCTGCTCCCATTTGTTACATAGTAAAGATGTGGACATTTTTTTTTCTATGCTTAAGACAGCAAGAATCAAACATTCTGCTTTGCTCATCGAGGAGTGGCAAGGAAGAAAAGTTTCTAGTCAAAAACTTTTTTTTTTGGCAAAGGGGCGTGATGGCTGGGGGGCTGTGGATCTTCAGATTACTTTTGATCTACTGAGAGTCAAATGTGCCCGGATAACCCAACAAAGAACGATCTTGCGTTGTTGACAAAGTTCTATAAAACACAATAAACACTTAAGGAAGTGTGATCGCTTCTTTAGTTGGAAGATTGTAAATAATAAAGACAAATCTTGTGGAACATATTGTACCACGGTAGCGTATTTCCTAGACTATGGGGGAAGACGTGACATCCAAGGCACTTTCAGCTTCTATCAAGTCACCGATATCTGTCAGAAGGTGTGAAGAACACCCATAGCTCACGCTCAAGAGCAAGGTTGGGTACGAATTTCTTGTAGTACGGAGATTGGCATTTCTTGAAGTCGCAAGGTGTTTGTAATCAACTATAGTCGGCAGTAAGTGCAGACTTTGAGTCCAAACAAGTATGTAATTTGTCAGCCATCTGTGAATGATATATGCTGACATAACACCCCCTAGGGGTAATTTATAATCTTACAAATTTAAAACTCATTAAGACCGTTGAGAGATGACTCGACAGCTACTCAAGTCCTCAGCTCTGCAGGGGCGTGTGTGTGCAGGCGATGAGCTGTCTTTCTAAGTTAAGTAAAAACTCTTTCAAACATTGTGGTAATGCCTTTCTCACATAATTGGTCGTGCGCGAACAGATAAAGGCCACACTGTGTCAGATATGTTGTACTAACAGTTGTACAAATAAACCTACGAGCCAAGGTTCCTTCGAGAAAAAAGCTGATAAAACTACTTGTTTTACAATTAAATCAGTTTAAAATGAGTCCCTCCAGACTCAATCACAGAGGAATGGGCAGCAAAAAAAAACGGGCGCTCACCCAGCGTTCACCCCAAAGAAAAACGGGAGCTGGGTGACTCACTCAACAAGAAAACGGGGGATGGCCACCCGCATCCACTGCTCCAACTCGAAGAAGTGCTGATTAAGACACAACCCAAGTG